TGTTCACGAAAGTACAGCAGTGACACCAGCTTTTGCAAACTTTGGAAGAGAATTACGGCTGCCTGCAGACCTGATCACCGGGATACCACCTGATGCTCCACGCAGTATAACCGATTATGCAAATGACTTGCGGAAAAAAATGAATGACGTTTATGAGCACGTCAGACAATCGGGCCAGCAAATGTCTGAAAAGATGAAAACCCGGTACGACCGCAAAATGAACAACAAAGGGTTCGACGAAGGTTCACTTGTGTGGTTGCACAATCCAGTCCGCAGCAAAGGGAAATCTCCTAAGCTTCAAGCTAAATGGGACGGCCCGTACCGGATTGTGACCAGGATCAACGATGTAACCTACCGGATACAGAAAGGCGCAAGAGGGACTCCTAAGATCGTTCATGTGGATCGCCTAGCGCGTTATTATGGGGGCGATAATGCTCGGGACGAGCATGTCTTAGGAGGGGGCAGTGTTACGCGCTCAAGTCGACGACACTAGCGCCATCTAGTCTCGAACTGAAGAACTAAACTTCTTGAAGTTTAAAACTCGAACTCTCGGTACCTTGCGCGTGTTTACTTGAACATTCTGGATATTTCTTTGCTAATTTATATAAATAGGCGCTGCAAGATGCGATCGAGAAAGTATTGGATTTGGCGAGACAAGCGAAGCTTCGGAGCGGAATAAAGTGAATTAGTGTGTTTAATTATTAGTGTTTTAAGTTTTAATTTGTGTAAAGTAAATTAAAGTGTTAATTTAGGTAATTTTATCGGCAATTTTTATTGTCACTAACCTCAAGCTCGTAACAGTATTTATAAATGCCTTAAAATTGACAATCAAAGAACTACAGAAGAAAAATATAGAACTCGCTAACAAAAATAATTATTTAGAAACGCGCGTTGGTGCACTAGAGCAAGGTATAAAGGCTGTGATTGTCACAGCTAAACAAACAAATTGAATTTTAAATATCCCTCATAATAACACAGAAATACTTAGCGACATTGTCAAAAAAATTTTAGATAAATTATCAGTCTTTGTTGATGATTTTGACACTTTAAAACGTGTACCAGAGAAAAGAGAAAAGCTGCGCCCTCCTTTCTGCCAAGGAGGGTCGCGTTCGTATACGGCTTAGAGATCTCTAGGCAGATCGTTAAGCCAATTCCTAAAAGGTTGGGTTTAGTGGGTAAAAGTCACCACATAACCACGCAGCCGGCTGCGTGGTATGCTATGAGCATTCCCAACCTCCCTCCCCCGCTTTCCGGAGGGTTGCCCATATTTGCTTCGGGCGCAAAAAAAAAGAGAAAAGCCAGGAAATATTGAAATTACATTTAAAAAAGAAACCACATCAACAAAATGGATCACAGCAGCGAAAAATCCAAGGCTATAATATGCTCATGACTTCTTGGATAATTTGACAGAGGCGACAGGGAAATGAATTATTTACATACGTGAAGCTTTATCATATATATAACTAAAACCAAACTACAATTACGTGTGGTATAAACGAGGTATCATCAGAGCACGAAAACAAGAACAAGGTGACATTATTATAATCCGTCGAGAAGAAGATATCACCAGACTAGAGCCTTAGAGCCTAAGTAAGCTAACAGTATCGATCCTATATTTATATATTAACGCATCATCTCTTTTTTCTTAATTTTGTAATTTGTTATTTGTTAATGTAAGCTTATTACATACTTTCCTACATATTCACAATAATAAACATGAATTTACCTAGTAACGTAACTGAATTAAAAAACTGTACTAACCTGACTTTATTCATAAAATTCCCTATAAAACTAATCTAACGTGTATTAATTTTAACATAAGGTCACTAATTTCAAATTTTTATAGTTTAGAACACATTATAGTCACTTGTCCTACTAGCATTCTCTCTTTCTTACTCTAAATAATATTAAAATGTTTGCGCTCGAAAGACGGCGAACTGCAGTGTTCAGAAAAATCTTATATAGGTTTATGTTGCACTTATGAACTGTGTATAATATGTATTTTAGTTACTGTAAAATAAAAAAAAATAAAAAGTCTTATACCTTTCAGGAGTTTTAGCAGGAATTTCACCACTAGCGGATATTGCTCCTGTATTATTGTATTCATAATGAATGGTTTGATCTATAAATGTGGTGCGACTTTGAGTATTAAATGCCTGCGCATGTAACTGTTAGTGGAAACGATGTTACAAGTCATTAGATGGTGATATAAAATCTCAAGGTATCTAGCAGCTTTTTGTTAGTTGATTCAATACTATCGTCAAATCGTCATCAACTCTTCACTGGCTAATTTTGTAATCAAAATATTTCGAAATCTTGGCAAAATCATCGTTATATTGTGAAGAATTTAGTTAATAAAATAAACATCGGACTAGGCCGCATGGTCTATGATTTTTGCCTGTCCTTATTGGCAAATCGTAACAGTTTCTTATTCGCTTATTAGTTTGTTGTAATTACTCTATGTCGATATACGTAACTCAAAGATATTGTACTTTTATTTATAATATCATTGATGTACAATTACTAATTTACTGGTTACTCTGAGCACGGTAATATTATCTATACAGTATTGTAACTCGGCCGTATCTTTGAAATAAATGCCTACAGCAGCGCGGTACGTAAACATGCAATAGGGCTGCCTGCCTTCAGCATTGCATTTGCCTACTTTGTGTTTCCATTTAGTTTTATGACTGTAAATATACTTTTTTTATATAATCAAATATAATAGGTACTTTGAAAATTCAATAGGAAGTGTTCAATAAAAATGCGTATCGTTTTTGATTGGTAGATTTAATTAAAAAACCATGTTTATGTTTGAATAATAAATCGGTCTTATGAATTTGCGACCGAAAAATATTTGCGCCTCGGCTGAGACGTACGAATTACTTTATTATTAAATTTTTAAGTATAAAAAAATCCGCATTATAATATAAAGCTTAATTAAAAATTATTTTGGGAAACATCGACAAGGTGGAGAAAAATAATATCTTTTACTTGGATAAAGAGGTATCTATAACCAAGTAAAAGATATTTTATAATTTATATGTTTGGTTTTAAATGAAGTTCGCATTTATTATTTCTTTATTTCTATTCTATTATTTATTTCCTCCATTTTTTATATATATTCCACAAAATCATCACTGCGGCACAGTCACGACTGTCTGCATGCCGAGCGCATGCCGAGATCGAGGCGCGTAGGTATAGCTCTCGCTTCGTCCGTTTGTATGAAGTTGGAATACTGTATAGATAAAATTACCGTGCTCTGAGTAACAGCTAAATACAAAGCGCTTCAACATAAACAGGGATGCCGATTCTTCCTAAAAAAGATCGACTTGTGAATCGACACGAATTGAAGTCTAAAGAATCGATTCAGAAAAAATTGAGGTCTACAGTATCTGGCCTTATTTTAAAAATAAAAATAGGGTGCTTTTTTCGACCAGTTGAAAGGTCTATCAAAAACTTTGTTTTCTCGAAATCCGTATACGTCAGATTTCTGGAACATGGCGCAAATCGTAAATGGTTAAACGTAGTTTAGCTCTGAGATACTATTAGTTTTATTAACTCAAGAGTTTATGATCTTCTGATCAAGACATAGTTTTTATATGCATTGTAAAGAATTAGCCATTAATGGATAACAACGGACTAAAATTTAAGCCAATTCTACTGCTTAGAGAACAAAGTTCATAAAAAGATTTTGTCCTATCTTTACTGCTCAAAAATATATTTATAAGTCTAGTAAGGACCGGCGAAATGCCCTGTGGCCATACAGGAGTATAGGAATATGTAAGTATTTTAGTATAGCGGCGTATGACGAAGCTGGTTGTAGTTATTCAATAACAATTTCCAGGGCTTTACGGTTGTGCGTTGTTCACCCGCGTTGAAGTCCTAGTGTAATTAATAGCGTAAAAAGTAAGTAATGCAACCGTGGAACTGAGTGCATCACAGCAGTAAAACCAGTGCAAATATATCGGCATCTTACACAATTTATAGGTATGTGGCCGTGGAAGGAAAAGGGGAGATCTCCCGCTGGGCAAGGTGTTCTGCCCGGGGAGCGGCCAACGCTCCGTGTGATAGTTTGGAGCTATTCGGGACTTATTAGATATATGTATCTGACCGCCGCCACAGAGTACATATATCTAATAAGTCCCGTCGTAACCTGAACCGATTTTGACGTTCCGAAGATGAGCTCTTAATAAGTTTTTTTATTATCAGTTGTTGAAAGTCATTGAGTTAATTAATAGCTATGCCCTTAATAAAGCGAAATATTTCAGTAAAACGTACGTTAACAGCATATCAACAGCAGTAGACTGCGATGAATTATAAATGTTTTAATGTGCATTTAAAAGTAATAAAATCTATCTATCCTAAAAATTAAGCTCAATTAGGTACATCAAATCGATAATAAGAACCATAGTCACTTGAGATATTTCTGAAAGAATATACACGGCAAATGAAAGTTTGACAACTACTGCCATATTTGTAACGAGAAATAATAAAGACAAGAGAAAAAATATCATGTTTTCTCTTCCCGAAGCGACTGGAGAGAATTTTAATCTTACGGTCTTGCCCTATACCGATCTTTCTTCAACGCACCCCATTACTTTTAGTGACATATTTGATATGTTATGTTTCAAGCAAATCTCGATTTTCGAGTGTCTGAGATTGATTCCAGGGATCGACCCATTGTTTAATTTTCTTAAACCATAAAATCGATTCCTTGATTAATCGATCTCACATCGCATCCCTATTCATAAATTGTTTATCGTTGCACTTGGCACCTGCAATAATTGCAATTGCATTGCAAACAAACTTGCTAGTTGTGTAGTGTAGTTGTGGTTGCTGTTTTCTTAATGGCATTTGCATAAAATCTTTAAAAGAAAGAAGTAATAAAATTCACAAAGCAAACTAATCAGAAAAGTAACTAAAACGTAACAATACTTCATAGTTTTCGAAACACAAACTTATTACACATCTACAATTCCAAAAGTAAATCAAACTTTTTGCAAGAATATTATAAAATTGAAAGTAAGTGAAACTTGTTTTTTCGTGGTAAAATATCATTTTGACTACGACATAAATCGTTATCAAAATGCAAATTTAATTGAATAGAAAGTGTGGCACCGTGCATGATTTAACACATACAGGTGAAATGATGTTGATTATTTAACCTTGCTTAATCGCTGCGTAATAGAAAGTTACCACAGCAATATACCAAGAAACTGACGGAAATATTTTAGTTTATCAGTAAACCTCCGTAGTGTTTTGTTTCGTGCTTCTGTGTTATCACTTATCCTAACTTTGTATTATTAACATTTTGCAATGAGTTTACTTATTAGATCTGCCGTATGCTTACCAGTGGCATCTGAAAGTTAGTTTCATAATTTGCATTATTTTGCCAGTGATTCATTACTGTAGCTTTCATTTGTAATTAAAAATATTTTTAAAGTGTATATACTATTTGTGTTGCAACACTTCACCTTGGGGAGTATTTGTTATTTCTTGAATATAATATTTACAGGTGAGCAGCGTCCTATTGTCCGCAATATGTCCGCCTCAGGATTAACCCCAGAAGCTCAGCTACAGTACATACTGCAGTGGTTCCAAGAGTTCAGTGAACTTCAACGTGAAGACTTTCTCCCAGTACTCGCTGCAGCTCATGGAGATAGACCAGATCAGCTTGCAGCAACACTTTCTAGTCTATCATGCCAAGACAAACCTGTCAGTTTGTTTCAGTGCCGTGTAAGTTAAACCTTATTTTTGTGCTTACATGCTTTATTTATCTTTTTTTTATCAGTGACAAACGTACTTTCAACCCACCTAATGGTAAGGAGCTACTGTAGTTAAATTTAAACAAAGAAGGCTATATGTGCATTTTCATCTCTGAGGAATAACCTGAAATGCCTTACAGCCTGTAATTACACCCTTCAGGCTGGAACACCGCGGTGCAAGTACTGCTTCTTAGTGGCAGAAGTAAGTAAAAGGGTGGTTAACTTATCTAGACGGACTCCTAGGCTGAAAAAAGAGTCCCACCAACTAGTTCAGTAGTATTATATTCATGTACTTTTTACATTTTATTTTTATAGGATAAGGGTGACAAACGAGCACACAGTCCACCTGATGGCAAGTGGATGCTGTGGCCCATAAACATCTACATTTAACCTCAATAAGAATTAAAATGCAGATGCATTCTCACCTTTGAGGACTAAGGTGGAATGCCTCGATTCCAGTAAAACGGGTCTCCAGTTCTCTACACTCACCATACGAAACAGCATCATTAAGCTGCTATTTTATGCTGGTATTCTGTGAGAGCGTGGTCCTTCCCCGGTCAAGCCAACCCATTCATGCTATAACCATAATATAGCTGCAACGTGGCTCTACCACATATAAGCACATAACATAATATTGAGACATTGCTTTTTTATAACAAAAATTATATTTTAGTTATTTATTGTCAAGAAAAAATAGAAATGAAAAATAATGTTATGTCCATCACATTGCTCCAGTGGCGGTTTACATAGACATGTTCACAATTTCTCAAAATATGTATTCTTCAGACATGCAGGTTTCCTTGCAATGTTTGTATATTAATACCCTATGGTAGTAATTTAAATAATTCCATGTCATAATGACAACAACAACAACCAGATCTCATTAAAATTCCTTAGTCTCTATGATTCATTCTGATGTGACAGACAATGGCCTTAAGTAATTCTTGTTATTTTAAAGAATTGATTATTTAAGTGATTTTAATTCCTTTTTTTATACAAAACAATGTATAATACTGACAATGAAATATGCTGATTTTTAAAAAAAATTACATATTTTAGTTATAACAACTAAATAACCATATCCTTCAGACTAAATTTTAGTCACAACAGCCAGTCTTGATGGTGTCTAGCTATCTGTGAAGGAAAGGATCATCATGCACAAGTATATGCATTATAATTCATTTTTTGTAATTTGCTATTTATTATAGGTGCGTTCTTCTATTTCCTTTCTCTCATAGTGTGATGGGACAAGAATCCCACACAACTGTAGTGAGACACAGCACCAACGGCTTAACGAGCATTTTGAGGCACTGAAGTAAAATGACGCTAACTCTCTGACTCTGGGCAGCTACTGAGTTCTTATAAGAAAATTAAATTAATAACTGAGTTTTGTCTTGAAATCTAATGATGTCAGTTCTTTTATTTTTAGTTTTTGTTCTTTACTCTTTTGTTCTTTTAAAAAAAAACACGTTAAGCCCCTTACACCTACCATACCCCACAGCCCCACACTAGGATTTCTCCTGTATCGTGGAGGCAGTTCACATAAATAAATTGCACAAAGACAAACATCCAGACCCGGAACAATTACTTGTAGGCCATACAAATACTTGTTCCGTGCGGGATTCGAATCCGCGGCCCTTAGCGCTATAACTCATTGCTAAGCTATTGCGCCACGGAGTCGTCAATAAAGCTTGTCATATCAAATGTAAGATTAAAACTACCATGTGGCCAACTAGTTGTAGTGTAATATAAGAAAAATTGTATTTTTAAACTTTGTTCATTTTATTTTACTATTGGATTACTAATTTTAAAAATATCAAAACAAAAATATAGTTAATACATGTTTATAATACTAGTTAGAGTCATTTCTTAGACATACTATATTTTCTTTTTGCCACAACCATTATATATTTAGGTTTTATTAGAATTGTGACAGTGTAAGAATATCCATTACCCCATATCATCCCATGCGTTTTATAAGAGGGGACAGAGGGATAAATCAGGAGATGACAGCAGAATCATTCCTAATGATGACTAAAAATAAAAAAACTGCATTTGTCAACCCGCTTGCCAAGCGTGGCAACTATGGCAAATATCCCCCCTATTAGATAATTTATGGGGGAGGCCTATGGTCAGCAGTGGAATTTAATAGTATGTTACAATAATGGTAGAATTAAAATTGGATGATTTTCTGGGGATGTTATAGGTATATAAAAGTTTTGTTTAAAATTGAATTAAAAGTTCATTAAATCCTTTTTTAACCTTTTTAGATAAAATTGTTTAATGAATGGTATCCAACATGGGCTGAAGAAGGAAAAGAAAGACTTGTTAAAAAGATATCTGATTTAGATCCAGATTTTAGTAGCAAACTACAGGAGGCTCTTGTTAAAGGAACTCCAATGAATGGTGATGGTGATGGGCTTGATGCATACGCCACAAAAGATCCGATAGAGAGACAAGATACTCAAAGCAATACCGATCAGGAGACAGTGGAACAAAGTGATGACAATCTAGAACTACCCCCTACCCACCAAGACAATATCTCCGTTGAAATAACTGCTGCATCTTAAGGTTGTTTATAATATTATAATTTATCTGTAAGATGACTATTTATTTTCAAATGCAGATGGATATAAAGTTTAAACAGATGTATTCTTCCAATAGTCATCATAGCTATGGTCACTTATAAATATTTATATTTATTCCTATTACATGTAATTTCAGTTTAATCAGGGGATATGTACCTGTGTTTTAATATCTTTATGTGCATTGTTGGTTTTCATACATATTTTATTAGAATAGAGAAATCTTTTTTATATTTTATAATCAATAGTGTAGGTTAATTTTTCTTTGTAGCATATCCTACTGAGTAATATTTAGATCTTACTAGCATTATTTAAATATATTACAGAGTTTAGGTAAATTTTTCCTGGTCTTAAATAAGTTCCTTAGAAACAATAACATTCCATTAATTACATTCCTGTAGAGATAGTTTAAAATTATAAAGTAGTATTACGTAATATATAATTTTAAGTGAAATATAGCAATAATATAATTTAAGAAGCGTTAAAAGTCGTATCCAATTTAATGTTGCACATTTTTTTTATAATTATTTTCAAGTATTGGTTATTGTCACATCACTTTATTAAGTAGATCCACTTACAAGTTTATTCTGAATTAACTTTATTTTACTTTGCGGAGATAGCACCTTATTCAAAATGTACAACTATGTAACTACATAATAGTAAGATAATATAATAAATCAATGTACTGGATTATAAAACAATAACACACATCAACATTATGTGAATTTTTTTAAATTCCATTAATATGTTTAAACCATATTGAAAATGACCATGATAAAAATGTCTAGACAGAAAGGTTGCAGGTTGTTTCTTACTGGCATAAAAATAATATTAAAGACATGGTGTAATCATGCGAAAAACATACATTGTATATTACATGAACATATTTACATTGTCCTCGGACCACGGATTAGCAAGACTTTCTTCAACACTATCAACTGGATAAGCATCTTGCAAGTTAGTTGTTGGCACTGTGCTTTGTTGATGATTATTGTCGGTTTCATTAAGCCACTCGGCGTAATCATTTTCGCGCACTACACAGAATCTCTCTCGATCTTCCGATCGATCGTCGCGTGAGGATGCGTGCAGGACGAACATTGTGCATCTCTAAACTATTATTGCTCGGATTAGGTTCACGCTTGTGACATGAATTTACATGTACAGGCGAGTCAAGGTCACATTACACGCCGCTTTTCGGTTTAGAAATCGCGCGTTTGACGAAAAATAAATACACGTGATAATCTTACTACAGCCCCTTCCCCCTTGTGATATTTCGTGATTTTTGGCAAACCCCCCCCCCCATTAATGGACGGCCCCTTAGAATGTAGAAAAGGCCATAAAATCGGTAAATTTAAATGAGAAAGAGTAATAATTACTTTTTAGTTAGTGTTTTAAAACATTATAAATAATTGCACTAATATTTTAGTCCGCATCATGGATTATGGCATCAAATTTCATTTATTCCAAAGAAGAAAAGGAAGTACAAACAATAAATATGTGCCAATTCTGCTATTAATGTTTGCGATATTATATAGGTACCTCTAAGTAAGATATGTTTTTTTGTATTTTTCGTGCAAATTTATATTTTGTAACAATTATTTAATATGTAATATTATAATATAGATGTATAATCCACCTGGTTGGCCATAAGAGTGTGTTAAGAAACGAATAGATCTGAAATTGTTAATTTGAAAAATAAAGATCTTTATAATCAATATTTTTATTTTCATTTGACACATTTTATTTATTTATTTATTATAAAAACAGTAACGGCACCATAACAAAACCAAGCCAATACTGTACAGAAACAAACAAAAACTGATAATTATAACTAGTGAAATAAAAATATATACTATTATAATGAAGAAAAATAATTATTGAAAATAAATCTCATAGACCCTGTGCGCCGCTTTTGTAAATTTTGCCAGGGTGCAGTTTCTTCGGTAATAATATTCAATAATTTTAAAACACGTGACATAGGCGCAAACCTGAGCAGATTTGTCCTCGCATACGGCACCTTAAAGGTGGGATGTGGGTGACCCTAGCCACCGCCTTATCAGGCACAGGCAGCTGCAACGCCTCCAGTACATCAGGATGGTGTAGCTGGCCACGCAGAACTCGCCACACATACTTGCAGAGCGCAACATCACGCCTCCCACCAAGCTGGCTGTACCCGACCGTGCCGATTACGAACTAGCTCGGTTACATCAGCGGGTAGAAAAAGTAGTCACCGTACTCCTTTAAATAAAGAAACCGCGTGAATTTATTTTGAATTTTTTCACCCATGTCGATATATTTATCTTCATGGGGATTCCAAATAACGGCACTCGTTTCCAGCCGGCTGCGAACAAGTGCATTGTATAAAATTTTAATCATGCCTGTCTAAAGAAATCCCTGCAATTCCTCAGGATAAAACCTAAGTTTCTGAAGGCCTTACCGCAGATATCTACAATGTACTTACGAAAAGTTAACTCAGCTACCATGTGTACACACCTAAGTCATGTACGAAAGTCAACCTCGTACCGGTACTGCAGCGGCGTGTAGTGTGTAGTCATATATATATGTAGGATAGAATAAGAGCGAGTTACCGAGTTAGTACTTAGTAATAAACCTACATTCAAGACCAGTAGACGTATTATTTATTCCCCGAACCTCCCGATATTACATGGCGACCCTGCCGCCGACCCGACCGCCGGGACCTGCATAGTAATTGAAGTAATTTATCCAAGAAGAAAAATTAATTATTAAATCAAAATAAATATATAATAACAAAAAAGAGCATCATACCGGATGTGACACTTAAATTTTTAATTACGAATATAAGAAGAGACTACAATTTTTTTTGAGAAATCGAAGCCTATAATACACTTAAAGAAAAAATGTTATAGAAGAAATGAAGAAAATACCTGAAAAAGAAATTATACAAGAAGCTCCAGTGACATTGTTATTAAATGAAGAAGATAAGAGAGAAAATTTCCAAGAAAAAAGATTCCAAGACACAGAAAACACCTTAATCAAAATTACCTCAAGAGAAGAGTACCAACTTTATCAAAAATAAATATGAAAGAAAAAAGAAGAGTACGAAGAAGTCCAGGCCCAACCACATCGGGGAGCTAAGAACATCTTCGAGTACCAGAGCAGTAGAAAGAAGTCAGGGGTACAACGAGCGACTAGCCAAGTTCTGTAGCAGGTACAAGACGTCTCGAAAGCACCGAATGTAAGTTTAATTATATAATAATGGTGTCGATGTCTATTGTCAATTACTTATATAATGTTATACACAGAACTGGGGAAAGAAAATTTTTAAATCATTTATTAAAAATAGGAAAAATATTAGTACTATTGATAGAAAAATTCTAAATTATGTATTATACCGCAATAATTAATCGGTAAATAACAACTATTAGGTTAGGTAAATAAACACACAATATGGTTGCAATGGTGTTAGTATAATTGGTGGTGGAAGTATAATTTAGTTCTACATATTCTACCATAGTAATGTGTATATTTTAATGGACAAGTAACTATAACAATATTTATCGAAATTTTAACAACATATAAATTATTCAATATTTTTTTAATTGATATGGTAACTGTGTAATTAATTATGTAACAGTGTCAGAGGAAATATCAACGTAAGAATATTATGCTAAGCTCAATGGAGAAAAGGAGAGGTAACGAATGGTTTTTTGGACACGATGTTAGTTTAACGGGAATCTAACCAATATAATATATGTTTGTAAAGTATTCATATAAACACAATCATGAATTTAATAACATGTATATGTCTATTCTCATTATATTACTTAAAACTAATATTGCTCAAAACAACTTATAAACTACTAAATAAACAAATTAAATAAGAATGGGATTGTGTAGTACTGCTCAACGCACTTCATATTATACTTGTTATAACAATTAATTTGTCAATCATTATATATTATAAATCGCAAACGTTACAACCAATTATCATTAATTTGTTTCTGTATTTATGTCAAATTTAATGTTCAAAAAAAAACATTTATTACTAAGAACGTCGTTATCGTATAACTTCTCCTAATAAAGAATAACAATAACATTTAAAGGTACATAACACCAACCTATTCTTAAACAGGGTACACATCATAATAAAAATTAAAGGGAAACTGACTAGGAAAATGCTATTTTATTATAAAGTATGTATATCGCCAGCCTAAAAGAATTTTAATGGTAATGTATCTTAACTGAGTTAAACTTTGACTGAAAAAATATTATCCCATTTTGTACAAAAATTAGCAAGGATGTATTTAAAAAGTGTGAGGAATGAAAGAAAGAAATGTTTAAAAATAGGAATACGAATGATTGAGTAGTTAAATTTCGTCAATATTGGACTGATCACCCTAATATTTGATGATGCTTAAACTGGTAGTATTGAATCTGTTAGGAGCGAGAATTATGCATGAAAAGAATAGATATAAAGGAAAATAATTGACCTTAATAAACAAAGTTAATAAATAAGTAATGGAGAGATACGGGAACGTCCATCACTGGTATAACACATAGTCCTCGAGCAGGGTATGTTTCCGTGATTGGATGATAAAATCGGGCGTAACGGGTACTAGGGAACATTACCTTCAGTACAAGAGATGTACACGAGTTTACATATAATTAGTACTGTTAGGGACCAGAGAAGTCTTAAATTTGTTACCCTTAAGAATGGTACATGGAGGTCATATCCTTCATTGGATCACAGTGTGAACTTAGTTTTCCTCAGTGACAATTGTTGGAGTCCTTTTAAAATGACTTAAACGTAGACCTCAAGGTTGTGCGCACAACCCAAGGTACACCTTTACCTTGATATAATTACGATAAAAAGTTTATGTACCAATGAAATGAAATGAATGTTACGAAAATGTAATGTAATACCCGAATAAATGAGGGGCCCATATTTATAAAGTACCCGCGTGATAAATATCACGAAATAAAATATAAATGAAATGGAATAA